GGCATTCCACACGTACAGCACGTTGTCACGAATCTCGAAGATGTTCCGCGTCTCCTTGGCGCCGCTCGACAGGCTCGCCTTGATATCCTTGAACAACCCCTTCTCGTTCAGGCGCAACAAGTCGGTACACGATGACATCCTTCGTCCGAGCGCGAGTTACGACAACGCAAGGTTATGGCCGACAAACGCGCGCGCTTTAGAACAACAACGTCGACGCACGCCACCACACGGCTGCCAACGGCTGTCGCGTATCGTGAACTTGAGAAGTTGACCTACGACGAACTTCAGGCGGTATCTGTTTTTCGAAACGGCCGTTATTCGCGACGCGGCGTCAGATTCGATCAGATTTAACCGAGATTTTTTATTCGAATGACGGTGACGCGTGGTTTCGCGGGCGAAGTACATAAATTATTTGCGAATGTCGTAAAATATCGTCGATCGCAAGTACCATCGCGAGTTCTCAAGTCGCGGCCGCCACGTGTGATGGTTATCGATCGCGACTCGGCCGGTTTAACCGCGAAATTCCGGATTCGGAATGGTCGCGTGTAATTTTCCAAACGGCCAGTTTCAAAATGGAGTTGGGCAGATCTCCGTTGTTACGTCTTGAGACAATGCGGGTAAGCGATTGCTCCTAATTATTATTTTCTACCCTTAATATGCACATATTGGGTTATTCATGTGTGCCTTCAAACAAGCGATACAAATGACACGATGTGACACAATGGATATCATTACATCCTTTTGTTGTTTGTCAATGTTAAACAAGGATGACATGATCACTGTCGCACTGTTCGCTTGTTGGAAGGCACTGTTCGCTTGTTTTGCGCGTTTCTTTTTTTTTTTTAATATGTAACTTTATAAATACTTTCTAAATGTGTTAAAGTATATGTAAAAATCGATATTAAGTAAAAACTGATCGATGAGATTGAAGTTTATGTAAAAATTGTTTAATAATTTTTGTATACTTGTAAAAACGATGAAAATTAACTCGAGACATGAACGACCCGAGGAATGATATATTGTATAATATATTTTAATTTAGGTAAAAAACATTTTAAGACAATGCGTATGTTCAAAAAACGAGATAAGATATGTATATTAAAAACATTTAAAAAAATCTTATATTTATTTCTATTAATCTAGGTTTAATTTTTTTTTTCTAATTTTTAAAATACTACTTTTAATTATTAAAATACTACTTTTAATTTTAAAATGCTACGTTTAATTTTTTTTTCTAATTTTTAAAATACTAATTTTTAAAAGAAAAAATAAATTAATCAAGATTAAAATCTACATTGGTAGAAACGGATATAAAAGACTTTTTTAAACATCTTTAAGACATCTTATGATCTCTGTGTCGTCTGAATTATCTACATAATTTAGTAATTTATTGGGCTTCGGAAGCCTTTATTATTTTTTAAAATTAGGAATAAAATGCAAATTTCGACATAGTAAAATGCTTGGCAAAATTCTTTGAATCGGCCAAAAATTTAACGCTATAAAACATTTGAGAAAAACAAAAAAAAATTATTGCAAAAATGATGCTTTCTTGACTTTTGAAATTCTCTTGCACGATTAAAAAATAAGTCAAATTATTAATATATTAATATATTAATTACATTTCAATCATTTAAAAGCAATATATGTATAAATAGCATTTATTTGTAGAGTAACAGAGCGAATGCCACTTTCACTGAAATATAAAAATCAGATTTACATAACAGAATTATATATAATTGATAATATAATCCAAGGCCGATATTATTGATCTGTAATTACATTTGTAAGATTGTGACTATAACGAAATGCACCGATAAATAAATTAATATTTTTATCTGTTATTATAATTTTGTATTATTAGCAAAATTCATATTTTATTATTCTTTTTATTACAAATTACAGTACTTGATATGAATGAAAAATTAATTAAAATATGCGTTAATATATATGTATATACAAGTAAAATAAATTTATTTTGTTTAATATATTGTATATTTATTGTTATATATATATTATATATATTATATGTATATATATTTATGTAAGGTTAAAAGAAAAAAATGAAGCAAAATTATAATTTTTCGCTTCCAGGCCCCGGAGGGATTCGAACCCTCGATCTCCTGTTTACTAGACAGGCGCTTTAACCAACTAAGCCACGGCGCCGTTGGAGAAACGTGAGTTATCTACAATTTATCTGACTACTGAAAAAATTATGACATATTCGATACTTCAGTTTTAAAGTAATTGAATTGTAATTCCTATGACACTATATTTTTTGTGCACTATGTGTCATGATCTGTGTTGATGGAGGCTATCGTTTATATTACATAATATGAAAGATATAAAAAGATAATATATGATTGCAAAAAATGTGTATTTGCAAGTAATGGTTAAGATTTAATTACATTATTATTTTTTATTAAATAACATATCAATGAATGATATAAATAAATCGTGTAATGCAAATGGATATAATATATCAACTATGGTCAAATTGATTTTCGAATTATTTAAATATTGTATGAATTGTAAGTATGATTTGTGTAAAGTGATTTTGTTATGAACTTTTTTAAATTTTGATTAATCTGTAAACAACAAAATTTAATTTATTTAACAAGTTAGATTTTTGTTCACAAATTTTTAAATAAATAAAAATTTTTTGTAAATTAAGTTTTCAGAAAATTTTCAGAATTCCCTTTTAGTCATTATTATTTGTATGTGATAAAATGACATTCATATATAGAATTTGTATGCAAAATATAACGCCCCCGGGTGGGCTCGAACCACCAACCTTTCGGTTAACAGCCGAACGCGCTAGCCGATTGCGCCACGGAGGCCGATGGTTGGTACATCTTTAGTAAACGATAAGGTCTTTGTCCTCTCTTTACATGATTTTTATTTTTTAATTATATATTTTTAACATTTTTTTATCACAAATTTGTATCATGTATTATCTTATATACGAATTATTAATAATATTTTACAAATCAGAGTCATTCAAGGTAATTTTGACATTGTTGTAATAGCAAAATGTTATTTATTGATAAACTTAACGATGAACATAAATCTTATCTTTACATGGTTTTTTAAACTTGATTAAGCAATATTTGACAAACCAGAGTTATTCAAGCTAATTCTGAAATTAATATAATAGCAAAATATTGTTATATTAATAAGCTTAGTAATGAACATAAATCCTCTTCAAGTTATTTTATTTCTTAGTTATATAGGTATGTGTGTATACTTATTTAACATTTTTTTATCACAAGTATGTATTTATTATCTCGTTATTATCTTATATTAACACAGTTACTATAAATTAATAGTAATATTTAGCAAACCAAAATTATTCATTAAGATAATTTTGAAGTTGTATTGTACATGCAAAACGTTGTTTGTTGATAAGCTTGATGATGAACATAAATTGATTAAAACTTTAATAGAGTCGCAATTATTAGAATAAAAAAGGTTAAAATACTCCGTTTATTATCTTTTTATGTTAAAAACGAGAGTAAATATACTGGTGAGATCTATAAATTGCTTGGTACATGCGAAGTGATTTGCAATTCATTTTCCGATAACTGCCGACAATGTATTGCGCTAACTTCTCTGTTTCTAGAATACCACTATCAACAAAACATACGTTCGCATGTACGTACAGAGCTGCGACGTACTACGATACAAATCGAACAGATGTGTCGACACAAGAAAGCGGCCGCGATGAAATATCACTCGCGTTGTAATAAATTTGTTATAGTCATAGTCGTGGATTGTGCGTGGCGATAATACGTCGCATATACGTAACAGGAAATAGTCCGGCACATTTACATCGAAACCATATACGGTTAATTAAATGGGGTCGGCTCATTAGTAACTGTCTATATGCAAGGCGATGGGCGAGACGCGATTGGAGGGTGGTCCCAAGATGATTTATCCGTCACGATGGATCGCAGATGTTCGACTGGTATATGTCGCGGGTCATCACAATAATACTGTAATTAAGATAATAGAGCATTATATGTATGCAGCATGAAAACGTATATTCCGTTCAGGTGCATAATATATAGAAAATAATCGTTGAAATAATGTTGTTTCTTTTTCAATTGAGTTGGAAGAATTTAAGATATATTGATCCCACATGGAAAGAAAGTTTTGTTAAAGTATCTAACAATTTAGCTAGGCAGATCTTAAATAATTTTATCAAAATAATGTGAGGGACGCTTAAGCTAATTGCTAGAATGTGAAAACTTTTTGCAGTTCTCGTTAAGTTTAAATGTTCTATATCATTATTTTGATAGTCTAACGAAATTATTTTCAGATTTGTCCAGTTGAATTTTTTAATTCTTTAGCTAAAAGGTTACTTCACTAAATTTTTCTTTTCATTTAAGAATAATGAAAATCAAATTAAATTTCTCTTTTAAACGAGCAGATTTTCAATTATATTTAATCTATTTTGACAATATATTTCTTTTGTACGAAAGAAAGATAAAATATTCCTATCATGAATAGGTTTTTTGTTAGGTAGAGTATCTAAAAATTTAACTAAATACAGATCTGATAATTTTGTTTGGACACTAAAATAATTATGTAAAACGTTTGTTGCTAGACTGTCGAGACTTTTTAAAGTATTGCTCATAATGCTTGAGATTTCTATGTAATATTTTATTTTTCAACATTGATTTTTTTAGTTTGTATCTAGCTAATTTGAAACATTTCAGCAAACTTGTTCTTTCCATGAATTGGTCCATGACCATAGAAATAATCAATTATTGACGGGATAAACGATCAATACTTCAGTAATTTGTCCGTGAATTGGTGGACACCATTGTCGCAGGATTCACTCTTAAAGATCTCCACCGGAAGGAGACCTTCTGGTTCGGCTATGGTGACACTAACGGTCTGTTTAAATTGTGTGTTTAATTACACAAGTAAGAGACAGTCGCCGCGAAATTTATCGGTCACTGTTACCGTCCCCTTCGTTCCTAATCTACGTAGCAGATATCCGCGCGAAACAGAGGAGAACATATCCTTCGCCTGTAATAAGACGCTTCTCATTGCTTTTTAGTGCCTCTTCCCAGAGAAGCAATTAGATTTATCAAGCATGTACGCATATAATTTACTGATATTACTATGATAGTTATAGGCAATACAATGCTAAATATGACTCGAAATATTACACGTAATTTATGATAATTATAATATTCAAGAATTATGCATTTTTTTTTCAAATTATTAACTATAAAAGCGATGAGATATCTATAGATGAGATATGTGTAATCGCTTTTATACGTAAAGATATTTGAAAGAAATTAACAATAATATTTGATCTTACAATTAGTTGGTAATATGGTGTAGTGATATTACATGAATTATTATTGTTGCAAAAAGGATTTCTCTTCCTATTTATGTATTATTTTATGTTCTCTTTTATGTCTCCGCGAGGCATGCAGTTTTCTCTGCAATTGCGTGTTATATCTTTGAGGCTTTTTTTTAATTATCAAAGAATTCTTGTTGCACGAGACTGAGTACTTGTATATATCTACGGTTAGAGAATACATGGATCTCGCTTCTTATTGGATAGAAATTTATGGCCATAAATCTAACTGGTTCCCGTCGAGAGGTTGAGCTTCCTCCTGGAAGTTTACAATCCCTCGTTCTCTCTATCCTGTAACCAACATCCGCTCCATCTCTCTTGTTCGCGTTTTCCATCCCTTCCCGGTACGGAAAGCACGGTACTTTACAGGCTATGGTGGGTGTCTATGATGAAAGTGTGCACGTTCTAGGATATACCGAACTTGTAACGATGTAACGGGTGAGCATTGCGCTGAAATCATGATGAATTCATTCAAAGTGCGAATTAACGTCCGGTCGGGGGTAAGTTTCTCTAAATGCCCGGAAGAGAGAACGCATGCGAAACCGGTAATCATCAATATTCCATTACGGTAAACCAATGTTGAGATTTAGCAAATTTGTTTGCTTAAGAAATCATTAGAATTTATTAATCATTTCAGTTATAACATTCCGGTTTGTTATAAATATGTATCAGTTATATACAGATCAGTTATACATCTCTGTATTTTGCACTATAATTATATTTACTAAGCATACTCTTATGTTTTATTTTCCATTTTACTTGATGTAATTTACTTTATTATTTTGATGAAGTAATAATTAAAAAAATTTTTAGAATAACAATTTATTAAGCTTATAAGATAATAAAGATGCTTATTACATTGTTACTAGAAATAATTTAATAGTAATAATATTTTATAAAGATATAAAATTTTTATAAGTACTAAGATATTAATTTGCAGTTAAAAAGCAATACAATATTAAAGAAAGATCAATACAAGTATCGATAATCATGACATAACAACGGTTATTGTTTCGATTTCACAAGTATGACATTTCCCCATGTTTCTTGGCTCACTTTTCTCGTTCAATCAACTAATGGTCCATAGAATGAAGAGCACGGCAAAACAGATCACGAACACCCGGTAGACAATACGTCTTGGCACTCGTAGGTCATTGTGGCGTTGAAAGGGAGTAACTTATAGGGGCATTGGGAATTACCAGTTTATTATTAGGGAGATAGCATAGAGGGCCAAGATCAGGGGTTGCTGTTAATTCTCCTAACACTTGGCTCCCCGGAGAGAACACGCTGCCTTAAGACTTCCTCCTTCTCTTCCATCCCACTGTACGGCCGACATCTTGAATCGCTGCCGTGTTAATTAGTACGACTTTAAACGCGCCCGCATGCGGTAGCAATCGGGATTCCCTGAAATGGTTTCGGCGCTATGCTCTGGAAGATGTTCAGATTGATACGCAATCTTAGGGTAAAAAATTTCAATATATATTACGATTTAGATATTTCTATAAGGTTCAATTTCCAGCATGCTCATTACATTTCATAATGTGACATGTTTTGCAATCATGTACGTAGATAATATTTGATTTATATATCTCCTTTTTCTTAAAGTGTTTGAAGCATTAAAAATTTGATGAAAATCACGCTTGATTGAAGTAAGTTGTATTTTTGAAAATTTTTATTCTAAATTCATTAACATGGAACAACAAATTAATAATATATGAAAGGAAATCAGCTTTAGTAACGATATTTGAAAAAAAGATGTAACTATGTTGATATCTTCAATAAAAAATTAAGAACAATGGT